ACACACACACACACACACACACAGACACAGACACAGACACAGACACAGACACAGACACAGACACACACACACACACACACACAGAACCCATCTTCAAGAAAAAGCAGTGGTCTATAAAGCCGCTCTCAATGCCACTTCTGATTGTGAATGAATCATTAGCACCAGCGCCTGCTGCAATTAATGCATTTGTTAAAGCACTGAGGGCATTTCAGTGAACCGCATTTGCACTGACTACTGGCCTGAAAAAAAACAACAACTTTTAATAATGAATCAAAAAAGTAATTTTTATTAAGTTATTATTATTAAAGTTATATATATATATAAAGTTATATTATATATATATACACACACACACACACATATATATATATTTAAATCATATATTTTGACAAAATTATTTATAATACTTTTTGTAAATATATTATTTTTTAAATTATTTAAAAATATATATATTTTTTTAATTAAGTATTTAAATATAACAAATTTATATTAAAAATGTATAAATAAAAAAATAATGATATAAAGTTATAATAGTATATATGTTCCACAAAAGAAATAAAGTCATACAGGTGTGAAATTACATGAGGGTGAGTAAATAACAAGAAAATTTTCATTTTTGCTTGATCTGTGCCTTTAACACCCATTTAAAACCCATTAACCTCTTACCATTATTTATGCAATTGTAATTGTAGTGTAAATGCATTCATGCCACTTCGGAGCTGCAATAAATGGTCTGTATGCCAATTCAGATGCAACTTCTGACCAATATATATATATATATATATATATATATATATATATATAATGGCCGTTGTAGCCCAAGTTTATGTGTAATAAATTCTATGCTCAATAAAATAAAATATTTCTAAAGCTACTTTTTGTAATGTGTATTTGATGCTTTTCTCATTTAACACAATAATGACTTTAAATTATATTTTAGGGGTAATTTCTCAGCCAAATTTGATGTGTGATTAATTTGATCAATTAATTGCCACATCATGTAATAATTAGATGACATTAGACATTATATATAGACATTATATGTTTATATACATTTTTAAAATTGTATATTATTCATAATAATTTAAAATTACATTTTTTCTTTTTATTTAAAAATGACAAAAAATTCTATAAATAAATAATAAATTAAAAATGATATATATAAACATACAATTTAATAAAGATAAAGTATATAAGATTAAGTATTAAGTCACTTCTGTATTCATTTTTGGTTTCATTATTCAGAGTGATTATTACCTATATCGTTGCGAGGAGGGAGGTTCTGGTCTTCATGGCTGGGGTATCTCTCCTTACGATCCAGCAGAAGGAAGTAGATCATCTTTTCCTGATTCTCACTGATGAGACAGGAGGACAAGACACAGCCATTTATCCAAAAAAAAAGCCAAATTCCCTTTTTTTGCCTTCTTGCTAGCTAGAAAGAACTGTTTAATAGATCTAACAGAAGCTATAAAGACCAAACTAACGGAGCACTCACTCGTCCGACAGCAGGTCCTTCATCAGCTTGTTCTTGTCCCGGAAGCAGCCCAGCGAGTGCATGCTCTCCAGGACGTCCGGGTCGATGTCGTCGGCTGACGGGACGCTGCGGATCGCCACCTTCCTGGGCACCGGCTGCTCCGGCTCCGGCTCGTTCTTCCCTCCTCTGAGGAGAGCAGAAGCAGTCAGTGCCACTGACACACCACACATCCAACAACAACACAAGCTCCATCACACAAAACACACAGAGGAACTGAGATCCTTACTAATCATTTCCAGTGCTAGAGAAAACATGGACTGACTAGACGTGACCTTATCACTAATTAAATGGACTGTCATTTCTTAACTTTTGCTCTCATCAATATAAATATGCTGCCTATTTGACATGTGGGTTGATATTGCAGAACGGGGCAAAACTTGTTACTTTACTTTGCTTACTTTCTTACGTCCCACTGCAACAAGTATGCCAAAAATGAAGCTTTTTCTTGTAAATTATAGTGGTAAATTAATCATTTTACTTCTGTAGTGCAACATATTTCTGTGTGAATGCTGGATATTGGCTATTAGATCATATGAATTGATGTTAATATGAATAATTAACATATAATAAGTATAGTGGGTGTATATTAAATTACATAAACTGAATATTTTTATATTTTCCAAAACATTAACATGTTTTTTTGTTTGTTTTATTTCTCCCACACTAACCCCTTCCACCAAAATAAATCATTTAAATATACAGAAAGATAAATAAATGAACAAATGCACGCATAAATAAAGCTCGTTTGTTCAGTAGCCTAAATCAATGCTTATGTATTGGGCTATTGGATAATATTAATATTAGTACGAAGATAATTAACATATATACACTATATATATACTGTGCATAATTATTCATAAATTAATTCATTACTTTAAAAAAAAAATCGTGGAAACCTTGACTTATAATCAACAGGAAACAGCAAATGACTAATAGTACTTAATTGTACATCCTTGCTAAATAAAAGTATTAATTTCTATAATGCCCCCCCACCCAAATATATATATATATATATATAATGACAGTAAAATGCTGATATTTGGATCTTTCTATTCATCAAAGAATCCTGAAAAAATGTACTCAACTTTTTTGAATATTGATAATAATACTTACAAATATTTCTTGAGCAGTAAATCAGCATATTAGAATGATTTCTGAAGATCATGTGATGCTGAAGACTGGAGTAATGATGCTGAAAACTCAGCTTTGATCAAAGATGAAATTTTAATGCAGGCTTGGTGAACAAAAGAGCATTTATTAAAAATCTTTCTGTCCAGAAACTTTTGACTGGTAGTGTACACTGTAAAATGTCTTGCTGCAATTAGTTATAACAACTTAACATTTGTTTAGATAACTTAAATATCCAACTTAACTAAACTTGTAATTTCACGTCAAGCACAAACACATTATTACTTGCTCTAATGCTAAAAAAGTTGAATTTGTTAGAAGTAATCGCAACAATCATTTTGTACAGCGCAAGTAAATGTACCTGTATGTAACACCAAATACACATTCACTAATGAACATCAATATAAAATGAGTTAATATTATCCAATAGCCCGTGTGTCCTCTGTGATATCGGTGAAAGTGAACGTCATTTCAAAGGCGTTTTAATGAACGATTACAAAAACAAGCAATTTTGTCATTAGAATAACGTGTGCTAATGAATTGTGCACATACATCCCGCAGCATAATCTACATACGGACGTGTCAGATCCCAATTAATAAAGCAACACAAGCATGTGTTTCATTCTAAGCTTCGCAATCCTAACAACCACAGCCAGTTCTGACCCTAAATCCACGACAAGCTTCCCTCCAAATATTTGCTGTCGCCATCTGTTAGAAAAGACGGTGGAGCAGCGAAAAACATAAGTATTCTGCTTAAACGCAGGCGGCGTGTCTTTGACCCCAGAGAGGGACGACCTTCGCCTGCTGTCTCTGTCTCTCTGGAGGAAGCCAGAGGAAAAGTGTCCTTGCTGCTGACATGTGAGGTCTGTGCCATTTATCACGCCGCGTCTCTGAGACAGATACACTTTCAATCCCGTCTATCCAGCCCTAACGCCCAGCCCGCTGTTTCTGTGTCACAACGGTTGTTTCCTGTCCCCAGAATCATGGGAGTTCAGTACTTACATGTACCAGGTGTGCTTCTGGATCAGCTCTAACTGTAAGAGAAACACACAGAGAGAGATGGTTAGAGCCACTGCAGAAAAACAGCAGCCATCAGTGAAGCACTTTAGAGAACAGGTCTCAATCAATCACTCGAAACGATACTCGCAAATCTAAATTCAAGTCAATCTGAAAATAATATTAAGATAAAAACAACATTGGAAAATGTGTGTGTGTGTGTGTGTGTATGTACGCGTTATTGTGACAAATGAGGAACACACAGAGAGAGATGGTTAGAGCCACTGCAGAAAAACAGCAGCCATCAGTGAAGCACTTTAGAGAACAGGTCTCAATCAATCACTCGAAACGATACTCGCAAATCTAAATTCAAGTCAATCTGAAAATAATATTAAGATAAAAACAACATTGGAAAATGTGTGTGTGTGTGTGTGTATGTACGCGTTATTGTGACAAATGAGGACATAAATTTGTTTAATGACAAAGGTATGACAGGTATTACAAGGAGAAGGTGACTTTTCAGGACATTACCCCATGTCCCCACTTTTCAAAACGCTTATAAATCACACAGAATGGAGTGTATTGAAAATCTGAAACAGGAGACTCTAAAAAAAGTCTCCTGTGAGGGGTAGGTTTAGGGGTAGGGTTGGTGTAGGACAATAGAATATACGGTCTGTACAGTATAAAAACCATTACTCCTATGGAGAGTCCCCACTTTTCACAAAAACAAACCTGTGTGTGTGTGTGTGTGTGTGTGTGTGTGTGTTTTATTATTTGTAATTTGTTTTTCAATACTATTTTTTTAAACATTTTACATTGTCATTTTAACATTAATATGGTGCAGTTAATAATGAAGAGGGGGGGGGGGAAATGCAACATGGCCTTTATGTAAAATTCGTAATAAGGGATATTCCATATGTGTTTTTATATGAATATTATAATTTTAATATGATCAAATAATTAGGGCTGCCAATTTAAAATGGTAATTTAGTGTTACTAATTATAAGAAAAAAATGCATACTCATGACCCCTGTTTTTAGTATCAATTCAATACCAGATATTATAGTTCTTACTTATATTTTTGATTGCAGTTCTTATTAATTTTAGAGAGTTTTGTTTTCATTTTCATTTTAGTTGGTTTTTGTCATTTTATTCTGTGATTTTTGCCATTTTTTGGAAAATTTTCTTTATTTTTAATGTTTAGTTCATTAATTAATTTTACATAGTATTTTTTTTTTTCAGTTTTAGTTTCAGTCATTTTATTATACATCAAGTTAAACTACATGTAAGTGAGGAACGTTGCCTGAAATAAAGTAAAATAAATAATAAAAATAAAAATACGTTGAAATAAAATACGTTTTGGTATATATAATTTTATTTTAGTTAACGTTTCATTTCTTTCAAGTAATGGATATTCAAAATCTATTTTCATTTTAATTATATTTTTGAATTGGTATTCATTTCAAACATTATCGTTGTGCAGTTAGTGATTAAAAATGTACGATTCCCCCAGCCTGTGCAATACATATATTTCATAATAAGGAATATATTCGATTTTTTGTTTGTGGCTTGTTTTTGTTTTTAATATTATCACATTAGGACTGTCAATTTAAACATTAATTTAGTGTGATTTATGACTGGCTGGATCTGGAGTTTGTGAGTTTCACTAAATTAAATCTCTGAAAGACTTTCACATTTACACAGGACATAAAAACAAAACACACGAGGTTGTTCGCTTTACATATCAGCCAGACAGTCTCTTCCTCTCTAACAGCTCTTGACTAAAATAAGTTGCAAAGACCAGCATCCTTTAAAGACTTCAGTGCAGTAGCCCGCTGTGAACTCTAGTGTTGTAGGCTTGGTAAAAGAGCCGCCGAGAGCAACCCTTCTGAAAAATGACAAATGGGACGGGCCACGGTCTCGTGACCTTCGTGGAAACGTGTAAGTGAAGGCCACGAGACCGCAAGTTCACATCCAGCACCCAAAGTCTGGCTCCAGAAGATGAATACCAGAGCGAGTCCAGCTGAGCGGTAATGGAGACGTTTCGTCTGAGAGCAGATACATCAGCGTCTGATGACTAATGACCGGCTGTGTAGAGATGAGGGAGCAGAGATCCAATTATTATTTGCATATCTGTGCTGGAGTGGGACGTAACTGCTGTCTACTGTTTTCCTCAATCATCTGTTTCTATGATATGTATTTCACATATGCTAAAGCCTCACACACAGGCAAACACATACGTTCGTTAGCATGTTGCAAAACCCTCGAAATGAAAAAAAAAAAAAAAAATTCCAATCAACAGGTATAATTACCCAGGAAAATGAACAGATGCTATTTAAAAACGTTGATGGTTCACTCACAAAACACAAAGAAGTGTTTTTACGCAAACAAATTTGTGAGAAAACATGCATGTGTCCATTTTGCTTTGAACTGAATGTGATTTATATGTAAAAATGTTTTTTTTTTACCAATGATTTGCACCATGTTTTATGAACGAGGCCCAACGTTTCAAAGACACTAGGTGTTTATTTACAAACTTTGGCCAGAGCAGTGTATTTATTGGTCAATGAACCAAAAGTAATACTAAAACTGTTAAAATTGTTTTCAGTAATTGAAATACATATTTTTTAAAGCATTTCCAAAATGCAACAGAACAATAAAAATTTGTGAGAATAAATGAAAAAATATATGCAAATTGTGTATATATGTGTATATATATCTTACAAATTAATAACATATCATTTTTATTCACAATATAATGAGAATTAGATTTTTTTTATACATATTTGCAAAATTGATAGATAGATAGATAGATAGATAGATAGATAGATAGATAGATAGATAGATAGATAGATAGATAGATAGATAGATGGATGATAGATCGACAGACAGACAGACAGATAGACATATAGATAGATAGATAGATAGATAGATAGATAGATAGATGATCGACAGACAGACAGACAGATAGACATATAGATAGATAGATAGATAGATAGATAGATAGATAGATAGATAGATAGATAGATAGATAGATAGATAGATAGATAGATAGATAGATGGATGATAGACCGACAGACAGATAGACATATAGACAGACAGATAGATTCTTTATTCAAGTCAAAAGCAGCTTTTTATTTTTTAGTATCTGCGTCCTCTGTGAGGAGAGAAAGGTCACAGTGATAGCATGGACATGCTGAGCTGATCTCCAAACACACAAACACACTACCTTTGAACTGTCAGACTAGCTTTACTATCTGCACATCAAACTCCTCTTTCTCTTTATCACCGAGTCACAGTATCAAGATTCCCCACTGAATCCAAAACAATAGAGTCAGAAAACGCCAGAGAAACACATTTTCAAGATAAAATCCTACCTTTCTCTGACTGCTAAATACTAACATCTTATTTAGCATCTCATCACATTAATCATACATAAAAAACATGTAGAAGACATCTGCAACCAAAGGAACAAGATCCAAAGCATGTTGTCCGACTTGTTTTTGTCTAAAGCCCAAAATATACTTTGGTTTTTATGCGCAAGTGAGGGTCCGTGTACTTTACACCGAGTTTTGTTACCCACATTCTTTGTACACGCATGTCGCACATGTGCACTGAATTTGTTTTGCACTAATAAGTTGTTCCTCAAGGTGGCAGCACTTTTTTGGTCAGTTGCAAACTGCAACGTGGACCAGACTTTATGCTGACAGTACAAATACTTTTACTGTTCCAGTTGGTGATTACTTAGTTTACTAGGATTAAAATGAAATTAAATCAAGCGTTTATACGTATAAAACTGATGTTATATAACTAACCCCATGAAATAGGGATGGGAAGATTCCCCGATTCGCTCGGTGCATCGGCATAAAAAGTTAACGATGCGATGCATCCATTTAAAAAGTGTGCATCGGCTACAAGTTGTCATTTATATTGCAATGCATCGTTTCTAATATATTTGCATCTGTAAAAACTGATTTATTTATATATAATTACTAGTGGATGTGCTATACTTTTATTATTTAGAAAGTTACCAATAATCTGTGACCAATGTTTTATATGCAGATTGATTTCTCCTCTCTAAACTGTTTCTCAAGTGGGTTCTCTCTTACCGTTAACCGATTGCCGGCGTCGACCTCGATCATTCCTCGCAGAAGGTTCTGGCAGTCCGGTGGGATAAAATGGGGCATGTGAAAAACACCCAGCTTGACTTTTTCTAACAAGTTTCTTAAATTGTCATCGTCAAACGGCAGAGCCCCCTAAACGAAAGACACAGACAACAAAAAGAAAATGCATCAGTCTGAGGAAAAATTCTGAGTAAATAAGGCTGGAGAAGAAGAACAAATTAGAAGAAAAGGGCTCAGAGGATTGACCCATAAATGCAAAGTTTTCATTAATTAACTCTTATATAAGGGGTCTGTCGGTACTGCTGACATGCTACAGCTGAGGGTGATGAGGTTTCATTTTCATTTCTGATGAAAAACAAAACAGAGGAATAACAAAAAACAAAAGAGACAGGACGAGAGCATAAATGCACTCCAATCATTTTGGATCTGAGAGGATTTTGTGCATTCAGCATTGAGTCTGTCAGAAGTCAATTTTATTTTTGGTTTTGGTGCTGTCTGCCTTTCCACAGCAGGTCCATGTATATTTCATAAAGGGACAATCGAATGAACTTCAGCAGAGAAGAGAAGAGAAGAGAAGAGAAGAGAAGAGAAGAGAAGAGAAGAGAAGAGAAGAGAAGAGAAGAGAAGAGAAGAGAAGAGAAGAGAAGAGAAGAGAAGAGAAGAGAAGAGAAGAGAAGAGAAGAGAAGAGAAACAAACATGAGATGAGACAAAAGACACATTGAGATATGAAGACACTGAGAGATGAGACAAAAAGAAATGCAATGAGATGAGGCCAAAAAAAAACAGAAGAGACAAAATGAGATGAGATGAAAGAAGACAAGCCAAAAGAAATGTAATGAGACAAAATAAGAGACAAAAATGAGACGAGACAAGGAAAAAATTAGAAAATGAGAAGCAATGAGATGAGAGAGGAAAATAGAAGAGATTAAACAATATGGAACAAGACCAAACAGACGACAAAACGAGATGTAATGAGATGAGGCAAAATAAGAGCCAACAATGAGATGAGTTAAGGTGACACAAAACGAGATAGAATTAGATGAGACTAGAGAGGAAAACAGAAGAGACAAGACAATATGACACAAGACCAAATGAGACAAGACACAATAGGTAAAATAAAAGTAGAGAATACACAAAAATTAGACGAGGTGACATTACAATAAATTAGACTAGATTAGATGAGACAATACGAAAAAAGTGCAGAGACAAAATGAGACAAGATGAGATGCAATATGATGAGACAAAACGAATGAAGAGAATAGACAAACTGAGATAAGGAGAGGTGACACGAGATGAGACAAAAATTTAATGAGAGAGGAAAACAGAAGAGACAAAACAATATGACACAAGACTAAACAAAAGAAGACTAAATAAAAAAAAGAGACAAAATGAGACAGGAAGAAACAAGATGACAAGAGTTGAGATAAAATTAAATGCAGATGAGATGAGACAGAAACTAAAAGAAAAAAATATTTGAAATGAGAAAAAAGGAAAAAAAGAGCAGAGACAAAATAAGACAAGATGAGGTGAAATAAGAAAAGACAAAAAGAGCTGAGACAAAATCAAAGAAGAGAATAGATAAAAATGAGACAAGGTAAGGTGACATGAGATGAGACAAAATGAGATTAGATGAGAGAAGAAAACGGAAGAAAAGAGACAAAACAACATGGGACATGATCAAAATGAAATGAAATAAGACGTGACAAAATGAAAGAAGACAATAGAAAATGCAAGCTGACGTGTGAAGATATGAGATGAAAGAGGAAAACAGAAGAGACAAAACAACATGAGACGAGACCAAACGAAATGAGACCAAATTAAATAAAATGAGACAGTGAAAAAAGCACAAGAATGAGACGAGACGAGGTGATGTGAGATGGAAAATAAGATGCAATGAGATGAGAAAAGAAAACAGAAGAGACAAAACAATGAACGAGACCAAACAAAACAAGACATATTGAGATGCAATATGATGAGACAAAATAAGAGACAAAATGAGACGAGATAAGGAGACGTGAGATGAGAGAAAATGAGATGGAATGAGATTAAATGAAATTAGAGAGGACAACAGAAGAGACAAGACAATATGACACAAGACCCAATAGGCAAAATAAAAGTAGAGACAAGGTGACATGAGATGAAAACATAAGAGACAAAACCAAATGGCAAGACCAAGAACAAGACGAGATTACATGATCCCTACAAAACTAATTGAGATGAAATAAGACGAGACAAAAAGACAAAAGAGGAGATAAGAGAAGAGACAAGATGAGGTGATGCAAGAAAAGAAAAGCAATGTTGAGCTGAAGTTCCTGAGTGGTTGTTTGAATGCAATGTGCAGCTCTGGTCTGTTCTGAAGTCACAGAAGCTCTCTGAATGATCTCTGAAGAAATGACTCGTTCATCATTGTTTCTAGAACGTCAAAAACAATCCAGCTCGGCTTTAAAATGCAGGCCAGTGGCTCTGTGTGGAGAGATAAACCTCTCAGACTCAAGGGTCTCAATTTTACTCTCAAAATTGAACAAGAGCATTTCAAATGAGCTGGAACTCTCGGGGATACTGCTGCGGTTCAGACGCGCAGGTAAAACATTTCGAATAAAATCAGCTAATAATGCAGTGCAGAGGTGTGTCCCATACTTGCTCCAAATTGTATCGTCTTTGGGACTTAGAAACATCAATTCCCAGCCTTCAATTCAAATATGCGTGTTCATTTCCACAAAATACCATTTCTGATGAAAAAGGATGGCTGATAACATTCTGAAAACTTGAGTTTAACTTTAATATCCATCACACTGTCAAAACAAGCAACATAATACAATGTGTTTGAATGTTGTTTGTGTCTTTCTACACAATTTAAGCAAACTGAAGAGAAGATATTTGCCATAATCAAGATATAGTTCACACAAAAATGAAAATTCTGTCAAACCTCCATGACTTTCCTTTACCAAAAGGAGATATTTGGTTGTCATGTTCATGCTGCTCTTTTCCAAACACTAAAACACTTTTTTTTAATATATATATATATATATATTTAATGTTTCTCAGAATAAATGTAGTCATATGAGTTTAGAACATCAAGAAGGTGAGTAATTGTTGGCAGAAATGTTATATTTGGGTGAACTATTCCTGTAAGGTAAAGTCTGGAGTGACTCACCACCAACAGAGCAAAAAGAATGACCCCACAGCTCCAAACGTCTGCTTTCCTTCCGTCATACTTCTCTCCCTAACAGAGACAAGACAAAGTCAAAATGCAATCCTTCTGATTCCAGATCAGGTCACACATTCAGAGTTGTCTTTTGTTTTACTTCCACAAAGCAGAAAGACTGACAGTCAGGCAACACTCACCCGGATGACTTCAGGACACGCGTAATGAGGAGATCTGTGAAAAGACAACATCAGCTTGAGTTACCCACAGTACTCACTGCTATTCATCTCTCAATATGTTTGTCTTATTTTAATTATTTTAAATTTGTAACCCCGCCCCCCTCCCTCAGGTTTTTATCCTTCATTAAACAGCATTTGCTGCCAAGTACAGTAAAATGTTTAAAGAAAGACATTTTACAGTAAAAGTGCAATTTTACAATAAAAATTAAATATTATAATTGTTTTCCATACAAAATGTCTCAATATATAGTGATTTTTTTATTTTAAATAAATAATATAAAATAAAATTGTATAAAACATTTACATTTAATTACATGTAATCAATATTTATCATGTGAGAATACTTTTTATTTATTTTATTTCTTTGCAGCACTGTAACAACACATTACCATATAATTGTAATAAAATATTTTTAAAAAGCATCTCGGGGACTCATATTTTGAACAGATTCGCAGAAAACAAACTATTTAAAAGTACTGATCTGCAGTACAAAAATACAGGGGGGACCGTATATAAAATGGCTGTAATTCCTAAGTATTTTATCTTATATTTTTGTTCAATCTCTTGAATTAAAGCTTAAAATCTGCACTTCAATTTCATCTTGTTTGTTTTATTTTAATTCTATTCTGGTGGCATACAGAGCCA